TTATTTAGATGTATTGTTTGAATATACAACAATTTTGAAATGCGAATAGAATAAATGTAATACGGATGTGTTACCATTTAATTGGATGATGGGAAAAAACCTTTAATTCAATGTATGATATAGGCAATAACAAAACAAGTAAGCAAAGGCTACAGTCGAGCGGGGCCGACCGTTGAATACCCTACAACACTATAATAAACGATACAGTTTATATAGGCGAGATACTCGAAAGAATTCCACAAGATATTGTGACAAATAATAAAAGAAAACCATCAGGTTTCGTTCTAATTTTCGAATAATAGAAACTTGAACTAATTTGCTCATTTCCAATTTATAGGTAGATGTTGCACGTAAATGGTCTTCCTAGATCTGGAACCAATATTTCCCAAAGACTTATAATCTCTCAGAAGTGGCAAAAGATTAACATTTATTATTGGTTTTTGACTTAAACGCATCTATATGAGATACAGACATTTGACTATATTCTTCAACGAAATCAGCGTTAACGAAATAGTCAGAAGTGCGTCTTTCCTGCATTTGTGAATTCTCCAAAAAGTCACTGGAATGGACATTTTCGTATTTTGTCTAAAAAAGTTGGCAAACTATTTCACACATTGAATATTTTTGGATGGCCATCCAAAACTATTTGGCTTTTGCAATGTCCGGTAACCTCCATTCAAATGAGGATCGGGCGATTATTACGACTTACTGACAATTTTGCAGTTTTTTTGCCCATTTCAACCCCTAAATATATGGCGATTATCTCCAAAAAGAGTAGGCTTCTATTCTGACCCTCATCTTATCCCCATGCAAAATTTCATAAAGATCGGGCCAGAAATGGGATCTGTATAAGATTTCCTGATATCCTAACTACTTAGTTTTGTTAGCTGTAGAAATATTACCAAATGTTTAATTCAAAATTAAAATATGCCAAAAATATGACAAAATTGAAAAAAATATGAGAAAATTTTACAAAATCAATATTTTCATCTTTAGAGAGATATTTTTATGCGATTTTTTTAGACGTTTTTTCTTTCCTGCGAAGAGGCCATTCTGAATTAATGAGAACTGTCGAAATCAGTTCAGCCGTTCTCGACATATAAGAGATCTTTCAAGCATATCTTCTTTGATAGACATATCTCACATATTTTCTATATATCCGATTTGTTGGATGTTAACATCAATGTAAAGGTCAGAAGTAACCTTTTCATGGCTTTGTGATTTCGCCGGGATTTAAAATATTCGCGGTTTAATGAAAAATTTTGAATTTTTTCAACACAAAATATATGGTCTATTTTACCCGCTAAATATTATCCGACGACCACCCAAATTGGTAGGCTTCTTCCCCGCCCTAAACTCTAGCTACATGCGATTGGTCTATAATTGCGACCTGTATAGCTACTGCAAAATCCGAAATTTTTTCAGTATTTGGTCCATTTCAACCCCTAAACATTTGGCGATCATCTCAAAAAGAAATAGGGTTCTATTCTGGCCCGACCCCGACCTCCATTCCAAATTTCGTGAAGATCGGGCCATAATTGCGACCTGTAGAGTGATTACAAATTAACATGGACAGACGGACAGACGGACGGACGGACATACATAGCTAGATCGACTCAGCTCGGCGAGATAGGATGATCTATATATACTTTCCTATGTGGGAAACCAATATTTCGAGGTGTTACATAATTTTGGGGCCAATCAAACTTATAATACCCCCAACACATAGTGTTGTAGGGTATAAAAATTGTACAGAGATGCATATATTTGCCAAAGTAAAAATGTATCTGATTCTCCCTCAGTTATTATAATTAGCCGATATGTGAAGAAGACTACAAGACAAAGTTGAAAAACTCTTTAAAACTTACGAATGTTGAATCAAAAATAATCATTCAATGCTATCACCCTATAAATCAAAATAAAACGGAAACAACATAGAAATTATTAGTCGGTTTGCAGATTTATGCATCCCCTCAGCATACAGGGTGAGATAAAAAACTGCAACAAAGTTAAACGCCATAATTTTGACATTTTTTTTAATTTTATTGAATGAAAGCAAAAAATGTCGAAAATAGCATCAAATTTTAGAATAAGTCTAAATTTTTTTTTCGAATTGTTTACCTTTGAATTATAGCCTTCAAACGGCCAATGAAACCGTCACACGCTGCCCGAATGTTGCTCTGCGGTATTTTGGCCCATTCCCGGTGAAGAGCTTGGTTGATGTGATCGACACTTTCGTATTTTTTGTGCCAGCTTTGCTTTCCAAAATACTCCAGACACAATAGTCCAACGAATTGGTATCCTGAAATTGGTGGCCATTGTGCGTTGGAAATGAAGCGAGGAACCTCATATTTCAACCATTCTTGGGTGGCGCGTGCTGAGTGCGATGGTCCTGTTGGAATGTCCAAGGTCTGCGGCCAAAATGTTTGTGTGTCCAAGGCTTTAATACACTCTCAAGAATATTTTCGCGATAATATTCGGCATTTATTCTGATGCCACGGTCGATTAATACGAGCAGAGAGCGATCATCGGCTGTTATGGCGGCCCACACCATCAGAATAGCCGGCACTTGATTCTGGTGGCCAACCGAACACATTTTGCACATTTTCAGCTGACCTCTTTGGCAACTAAACACGATAATTTTGTTTGTTTACAAACTGCTGGACAACGAATGTTTTCTCATTGTAGAAAACCACATACGGCCGTTCACCACTTTCGGCCAAGCGAGGCAACCCTTTAGCTCTTTTGAGTCTATTTTCTTTCTGTTGCTGTCTAAGTTCTTGCACTTCTTGGAATTTCAATGGCTTTACCCCGAGCTCATTTTTCAATAATTGCCGAATGGTTTATTGCGATATGTCCAGCTCACGAGCCATTTTTTGGCCACTGCGATGCGGGTTTCGATCAAGTGGCTTCTTTACTTTTCGAACCATTTCTATTGATGGTGCTGTTTTCTTCCGTCCACTTCCTTGACGTCGGGCTACGCAACCAGTATCACGGTAACGAGCGATGGTACGAGACACAAAAGATTTATTCACATTTAAATGCTGAAGTGCTCTATCTATAGCCACTTGTGGTTTTTTTGCCCAATATAAAGCAATCACACTATCACGCTTGACTTTCATCACGAATAAATTTTTTCAGTAAAATTCTCACTAAAATGCTTTTGTACACTTGTACGCTTGATTCCGGTTTCTTCATCTCACTCTGTAATTGTACTTCCTCACATTCGTGTTTACTTAGCTGAAGATGTGCACCTTCTGTTGGCGACCAGAACTCAAGCGCCGGCCATGGTGATGGTGTGGGCCGCCATAACAGCCGATGGTCGCTCTCTGCTCGTATTAATCGACCGTGGCATCAGAATAAATGCCGAATATTATCACGAAAATATTTTAAAGGGTGTATTAAAGTCTCAGCCCCCGCCACCCAAGAATGGTTACAAAATGAGGTTCCTCCCTTCATTTCCAGCGTACACCAAAATCTTCGGATACCAATCCGTTGGACGGTTGTGTCTGGAATATTTTGAAAAGCTAGATTGGTACTAAACATGTAAAAAAACATAATATTCGGCCGGGCCGAACTTTTTATACCCTCTACCATAGGGTAAAGGAGACATTAGAGCCCATTGTGACCCACAAATACCAACTTTTGACATATTCGTGGGAAAATGTGGCAAAAATCATCAAAATATCGAATATCGGGAGGTACCGCTATATGTGGCTATACAAAAATGTGAACCTATACATACAATGTTTCGGCAGAATATCTGGAGGTACCGTTATATGGGATCTATACCAAAACGTGGACCTATACATACAATGTTTCGCCATAAGAACTAGAAGCCATTATGACAAACAAATACCAAGTTTTAGGCAAATCCGTAAAAAAATGTGGCAAAATTCATCAAGAGGTACCGTTATATGGGGGCTATACCACATACAATATTTCGCCACACGAACAAGGACCCATTATGGCCAACAAATACCAATTATTAGACAAATCGGTGAAAATATGTGTCAAAAACCAGCAAAATACCGAATATCGGGAGGTACCATTATATGGGGATTGTACCAAAACGTGGACCGATATATCCCATTTTCAATACCAACCATCCTAGAAACAATACAAATTGTTCTGCTAAATTTTGACGCTCTACGTCAAATATGTGGGCTGTATCGTAATTTCAACAGACAGACGGACAGACAGACAGAGGGACATCGTTAAAAAATTGAGAATTTTATGCTGATTATGATTATATATACTTTATGGGGTCTACGACGAATCTTTAGGGATGTTACAAACGGAATGACAATGTTAATATACGGGGGTAAAAAAATACCAAAGAGTCGATCACCTCAAGCAAGCGCTTCGCCTGGAAGGGGCTAAAATACCGCAGAGCAACATTCGGGCAGCGTGTGACGGTTTCATTTTCAGCTTGAAGGCTATAATTCGTGAAAAAGGTGACGAATTCGAACAAACTTATTATAAAATTTAATGCTATTTCCGACATGTTTTGCTTTCATTCAATAAAATTTAAAAAAATGTAAAAAATATGACCTTAGACTTGGTTGCAGTTTTTTTTATCTCACCTTTTACTGGAAACACAAAGCTCCAATTTACTAAATATTCGGATTAAAATTTTGACTAAAACAACCAATTGATCATACTATTGTCAGTGCATTTACAGGTCCTATATCAAAATGTAGATTTTTCAATACCAAATGTTCTACAGAAGGTTTTTCGCTTATTATAAACCAAAATTACATAAATTCCTTATTTTATAAGGAAATTAATTTCAATTAGCTTCTGAACATCAATACAATTTTCGATTGTTTTGTTTTTTTTTTAAGTTTTTTTTAAGTAAATATTAATTTGAATTATATATTAAACATTTGTTCAAATTAATTTGTAAATAATAATATAATAATTATTTTTACTATAAATCACAGAATCAGGAATATCAATTTAAAAAAAAATATTAACATTTTTCAAACTTCACTTACCAACTTCATGATTAAAATTTATCCAAAAATCGTTAAAAATATCCAAAAAATGAATTCAAATTGCCGGCGTTACTCTGTAGGTTTTATTTATTTATTCGTTTCTTAATTTCTTTGTTCAAAGGTGTTAATAATTGTAACTCTATAGGCAGTTAAATTCATTCATTCACCAACTGTATTCAAATTATGCTCAAATTGTTCATTTAACAATTATTCAATTTGAATTTAATTAAAACAGAAAATAAGACAACACTGTGAACACTGTATTACGGATTCCAAACAATCACGCCAGGCGTATCAATGAAAGTTTTGTCAGTTTTGAATATTCGTTAGTAATTAATTAACGCCTGTAAATTTCTCCAGGAATTATCGATTTTGTTTTCGTTTGAATTTAACGGCAACCACAGCGAAGCGAAACGAAAAACGTTACTGATCACTTAAGCGCAAATATTTTCATAAGTCACCAACAACTGTTGCTTCTCATCACTTTTTTCGGTTTTGAAGGTTTATGCATTGGCGGAATTTCTTTATTTTTTTTTGTCTTGGCCACAAATTACCAAAGTAACCGCTACCAAACAACTCGACCGTTTGATTGTTCGTTGCAGACTGAGACTGCGCATAGTTCGGTACTTCCCTGAAATGCGGCAAAAAGACACAGCATAGAGCCGAAAGACAGACAACAGATAAAATGTAAAACCAAAACAAAAACCATAAAATTTATTTTGATGGTGATGATGATGATGATGAACATTTGACGGCAGCAAATCGGCGTGGCTGATGGAGTTGGTGTTTTTTTTTCTTTTGTTAACTTCATCTTCATTTTCTCTTAACTTTTGCGAGATGTGCTTTGTGAGGAACAGTTGTTGTGGTATTGTTCAATGGCAATACTTAATTATCATGTTCCATGCATGAATTCCACCAAATGTTTAGATACATGTTGCAAAGTTTTTGGGAGATTCTGCAAAAATGTGGGAGCAGATAGATGGAGTGTTAAATATCAGTTATCTTAATATAGTTATTGATGTGGAAAAACATTAGTAATAAATGCAGTAGGTACAATCCAAAATTTATGCCTTTTATGTATAATAACCCCAACATTAGGAAGTGGCCACAATATGGCGACAGAAAATCTCAATTAATAGAAAAGGAGATGAATTGCATTTTTTTCAGGACGCATTGGTAGCTTTTGCAATAACATTGGCTGATATTCAATCTAAAATCGACAAATCTGATTATTTACATATTAAGCTAAAATGAAATGAATTTCTCCTTACATTTTGGTTTTGGGTGAACGGATAAAGCTTCAATGATGGGCTCCTGTTGGCTGTAGGTTTGTGATAAAAAGGGGGTTTTAGATATGCGTACAATAATTGCCAGCCAAGTACTATAATTTTTCGAAATTCGATAATTGCAATTCCAACGGACACCACATGTAGTTTGGACCTATGAAGGTGATTTCGGATTTGTGCACTTGAATTGTACGAAAAGTAATGAATGGTACTATATTTGGTATTGGGTAAAGGGATAGAGATTCTATTCTAAAAATTCGTATTTTGTTTACAAATGGCATCTGTGTTTGAGGCGGTAGTGTCAAAATGTGTCCTATATTTCTACGAAAAATACAAAATTGTACTAAATTTGGTATTGGTGAGGGGATAGGGCTGGAATCCTCAAATTATATATTGAGGTTTTTTGGAGGTTTTTTTTGAGGTTGGTATCTTGTGTTTTGGAAATGTTCGCTATAATTGTACAAACAGTACTAATAGTACTAAATGTGGTGTGGGTTAAGGAATAAAATTGATATGGATGTCACTGTTTGTTAGTGCCTGTGGTTGAGAGAAGGAGCTAGTTTTGGAAATGCGAAATATAATTGTACTAAATGGCAATAAATTTGGCAATAGTATTACGATCACTCTTGGTATCTGAGGTTGAGACAGGGCACTAAATTTGGCAATGGTGTTAAGGTCACTGTTAGTATCAGAGAATGCGCGCTGCATTTGTTCGAAAAGTACTAAGTTGTACTAACTTGGGTATTAGTTGAAGGGATCCTTAACTTTGATACTGAGGCCTTTGTTGTTATCTGGGATTGAGATATGGAGGTGGTTTTGGAATTGTACTTGTATGATAAGTACTAAAAATTTGGCATTGGGTGAAGGGATTGATCTGGAATCCCGAAATTTGAAATTGAGGTCTCTGTTGATATCAGAAATATGGAGATTGTTTTTAAAATGCGTACTGTAATTGTTCGAAAAGTACTACATGATACTGAATTTGGTATTGGGTGTAGGGATAGAACCAGAATCCTGAAATTTGATATGGAAGTCACTCTCGGTATCTGTAGTTGAGAGAAGGAGATGGTATTGGAAATGCGTACCAAGAACATACGAAAAGTGAAAAATGTCACAAAATGAAAATATGGTAAAAAAATTGGGATTGGGTTTCGGATAGAGGTGGAATTCTGAAATTTGATATGGAGACCATTATCGTTATGTAGTTTTGAGAAAAGGAGGTGGATTTGGTGCAAAATGGTACTACTTGACCCATTGTGGAGAAGGTACCAGAAGAAGTAGACCGATATCTATAATTTCTGAAACAGATCTTGTGTAAAAAAAAATTAAAACAAATGTCAGAAAGTTTCAGATGTTTTTTTTCGCATTTCATGAGCATTTTGGTTATTCAAAACATTGACCACTTTTGTGGGGGAGGTACCAGAAGGGGTCGGCCGATATATTCCATCTTCACACCAGACCTTATTTTGGGAAATCGAATACTCCCTTCGAAAGTTATCGTGGACACCATCCAGACGGATGTGCTAAACAAACGGAAGGAGCTAGAATTTAGAATGAGAGTCATTGATGGAATGCAGAATAGATAAATAAAAGTGTTTTCTCGTGTGGTATGAAACTTCTAAAATGGTACCATTTGGTATTATGTGAACGGATAGATCTTGGTATGAGAGTCAAGATTGAAAAGTAAGTTTGATATGAAAGTAGGTTGTAAAATGTGTTCTAAGTGTACAAACTATACTAAATAGTACTAAATTTGAAACAGTTTGGTTAAGGGCGAACGGATATAGCTGGAATATCGAAATTTTGGTATTGGAATCCGTGTTAGTGATAGGATTGAAAATGGAAGTTGGTTTTAGAAGTGTATAATACAAGTACACAAGTTTGGTATTGGGTGGACATATACTTAGATTACTGATGGTACCTGTATTTGAGATTTTTCGGTGGTTTGGAAATGTATCCTATATTTGTACGATAGGTACTTAATTGTACTGAATTTGGTAATGTGTGAAGGGATAAGGCTGGAATCCTAAAATCTGATATTCAGGTCTCTGTTGGTTCTTGGAATTGTGATATGAATGTGGTTTTGGAAACGTGTACTATATTTGTATGAAAAGTACTAAATTTGGTACTGGGTTAAGAAATAGAGCAGAAATCCGGAAAATTTGATGTGGATGTCACAATTTTGTTAATCTTATTGCATATTTATACCCTACACCACAGGGTGGTCAGGGTATTATGTCTTTGTGCATTTGTTTGTAACAGGCAAAAGGAAACGAGATAGACCCATAGTTCCTTTTCATGATCTGCATAGAATCACATTCTGAGTCGATTTATGCATGTCCGTCTGTCCGTCCGTCCGTCTGTCCATGTATTTTTGCAAACAGTTCGCATTTATTGTCCTATCCAGATGAAATTTTGCACAAATCATTTGTGTGGCTCAAGGACGAATCCTATTGAAATTGGAGATAGTCGTTCAAAATTTAGATATTGCTCCCATATATATCTTCGTCCGATTTGCCTTTTATTGTGCACCAATCGTGTAATATCAGCCCGAATGGTATGGAATTTTGCACATACAACCAAATTGGGCCTGGAAATAAGTATGCCAAATTTTATCGAAATCGGTTCAGATATAGCTATAGCTTCCATATATATTGTTCATCCGATTTATTATTTTTGTCCTCCGCAGCCGTAATATGCACTCTGTAACAACAATATTTGGGGAAATATATCAAATGCAGCTCAGAAATACCTTTACTAAATTTTATCGAGATCGGTTCAGATTTGGATATAGCTCCCATATATAACTTCGTCCGATTTACATTTTATTGTGCACCAAACGTCTAATATTTTTCCAAATGGGATGGAATTTGGCACTTACGACAGAATTGAGTCTAGAAGCTAGTATGTCAAATTTGATGAAGATCGGTTCAGATATAGCTATAGCTCCCTTATATACTCTTCATCCGATTTGTTATATTTGTTACTAACAGCTGTAATATGCACTCCGTAACGACGATTTTCAGGGAAATATATCAAATACAGCTCAGAAATATCTTTGCCAAATTTTATCGATATCGGTTCCGATTTGGATATAGCTCCCATATATATCTTTGTCCGATTGCAAGTTAATTGTCCACCAAATGGGTAATACAAGTCCGAATTTAAAAGATAAAAATGCTTCGGCATATTCAGTCCTTTGAACTTTAAATTATAATCATAGCGTGTTTGAACTTTTAATTGTTATGCGGAGCTCTACTAAATTAGCAAAGTGGTGTAGGGTATCATAAAGTCGGCCCCGCCAGACGTTAAGACTTTCTTTACTGGTTTTTAATTACATGAATGTGTATAGAGTACATTTGGTACCAAATTGAGTACCACCACCAAAGTGAGTACTACCAATTGAGGACGGTTTAGACGAATATTACACTTATTGTATTACTCGTACTTTAAATATTCGTTAGCATTTAAAAAAAAAAAAAAAAAAAATTCCAGAATACCATGTCATATCGTTTAGTACCCATTATTTAGTAGTCTTTCTTCAATTTGGTTAAATTGGAAGGAATTCCTTTGAAAGGGTGAGAATGTAATGCGACAGGCCAGATAATAATTTAATGCTTAGGATCTTTTGTTTGTCACGCTCTTGTAAAAAGAGGGTGTGCCAAAACGATGACAGCCCATATTACTTGTGCCGATGATATAACGGTATCTCTTTAGCATCGATCACCTAGTTGAAATAATATTTAAAAAAAAAAAATTGTTATTATAGGAGAGACATATTTTAAATAGTTTTGTGTGTTTGATACCAGTTGACTACAACTGAAGATTACCTCTCTGCAGACATCTTATTCG